ACACGCACGCACGCACGCACGCACGCACACACACTCTGACCCAAGCTCACACCAGGTGGCGGTGACTGGCAACTGGCGCAGGAACGAGGGTTCCCTTGCTGGTTGCTGGTTGGCTCTCGAAGCTTTCAAACAGGTGTGGGGAACCGCTGGTCTCCCCTCCCCTCCTGCGCCCACCCTCCTCTTCCCCAAGCAGCCACTGCTACCAGCAGGCTGGGGGGCCACCTGAAGGTGTCACAGCGCAGAGCCTCAGGAGGCGGTTACAGTGGTGGCATGGGGAGGAGGTGGGGCCCGGGGGGCAGTGCAGGGAACCAGCTTGGCTAGGGCCAGGGGGAGAGGCATCTGTTTTTGGTGGGTTGTGATATTTTTGGTGTTTTATTAAAAATGGAAAAAATTTTAGCACTCACGGTGCGTCTTCCCCTCCCCCCAGGCAGCCCCCCCCATGTCAGGGAAAGGCAGCCCCCCCCACGGGTGGGTGGGGCTCAAGCAGGGGCTGCTATGGCTACCAGAGGGGGAGCTGGTGAGGTGGGTGGGGTGCGTCACATGACACTCTCCACCACAACGACTTTGCTGCTCTCGGACACCGGGCTCAGGGTGGTCAGGCCCCTGGCGTCCGTGTCCTGAGCTCGGTACTCCAAGTGGTGGAGGCCCCAGACAGGCTGGGTCAGGTGCTGCCAGCGCTGCGGGGACGGGGAGAGGAGCGTGAGGCTTGGCCTCTCCTGTGCCCACCTCCCAGCCCAGGGCAGGGGGCAGGGGCACCCAGCACTCACCTCTGCCATGGTTCCCTTGGCCCTGAGAAGGCAGCCCAGCAGGTACAGGGGCACGCACAGCATGGAGGAGAGCGCGAAGGCCCAGCCCATGGCCTCGCCCCACCATGGGTACACGTAGGTGTTGTTGTAGACCAGTGGCTCATAGTACACCACATTAAAGATGAAGATGCCCTGTGGGGGTGCCATGCGTCAGCTGCGCCCTGTGGCCATCCCCCCCACTGCCTGGCGGCTCCCACAGCCCTTACTTACCATGCAGACCAGCGGGGTGAAGAAGGACCAGCACCATTTCATCCAAGGGCAAGGCCGGTACCCGATCATGCAGGCGATGTCGTCCATGAAGCGGTCAGCTCCTGTGCAGACGAGGGGAGGGCCACAGCTGCGGTCCCCTCGGCCCTGCCTGCCGCACATCCCCCACCTTCCCCGGCCCGGACCTACCGTACACCCAGGCCACCACCACGCACTCCCAGAAGGCCTGCCACAGCAGCGTGGTGCCACTGGCGGAGTAGTAGTCAAACAGCTGGAAGACGTACATCCCACCCTGGGGGACAGAGCTGGGTGAGGGGGGCCAGTGGCCAACGGCCAGAGCCCAGCAGCAGCCACACCCCAGGCTCACTCACATCAGTCACCATAGAGAGGTCGATGACAAAGCAGAAGACACAGCAGAGGGCCACGGCGATCTCCCTTTGGAAACGGAAGTAGTAGGAGGCCGGGAGGAGGTCAAGCAGGCCGGTGATGAAGCCTTCCACACCTACAAACTGTGGCGAGACAGCTCAGGCCTGGCCTGCCAGGTTCCTGGTGCTCCCCCAGAGCCCAGCCCAGCACCCGGCCTGGAGCCTCTACAAACCTGGCTGTCGAGCCCAAGCAGCAGCAGCATGAAAAAGAACAGGGCAGCCCAGAGTGGGGCCACGGGCATCAGTGTGACGGCCCGGGGGTAGGCGATGAATGCTAGGCCGGGCCCTGGGGACAGAGGAGTGGGGTGAGGAAGGCGCCCTGCTGTGTCTAAGGCCATCCCGGTCATGGGTCACCAGTGACCCCTGGGGGGTGTGGGGCAGCGCAGGGGCTGCAGAACTCTGGGACAAGCGCCAGGACACCGTGTGGCCCCAGGGATGGGTAGTAGGGCACCCGAGCCTGGCTGTCACTTCTGTTGCCATCTGCATGTGCCCGCATTCCGACACATGTGGAGCAGCACTGCAGCTCTGCAGCAGGCCTGCGGGGTGGGGTGGGGTGGGGAGCTCACCCGATTCCGCCACCTTGGAGATGTGCACACCCTGCTCTGTTGCCATGAAGCCCAGAATGGAGAAGACCACAAAGCCCGCAAAGAAGCTGGTCCCGCTGTTGATGAGTGCCAGGATGATGGCGTCCCTGTGGGCAGAGAGGACTGACTGGTGGGCACCTGGTGCTCCCGTGGGGGAGGGCAGGATAAGCAGGACAGAGGAGGCAGAAGGGGCAGAAGGGCCAGTGTGGTGCCTACTTGTAGCAGTTGTTGTTGAAGCGGTTGTAGCTGCCCAGGGCTGTGAGGGCCCCCAGGCCGATGGCATAAGAAAAGAAAATCTGGGTCCCAGCATCTATCCATACCTGCACCAGGCAAGAGGAGCTGTGAGGGCCGGGCTTGGGCTTGGTGCCCCCTCACCACTTCGCAGGCACATCACTCACCTGAGGGGAAGCCAGCTTGGACCAGTCTGGCTTGAGATAGTAGATGATACCATCTAGGGCTCCAGGCAGCAGCACCCCGCGCACCAGCAGCACAACGAGGACCACGTAGGGGAATGTAGCAGTGAAGTACACGATCTGGGGGGGGCCAGACAATTCAGCAGGGTGCTGCAGCCCATCCCCTGTCCTGCCCCGCTCCACAGAGCCAAGGCTCCCCTAAGGGAAGCCAGCAGCAAAGGTCAGGTTGAGGACAGGACCATGGGGTCACCGGGCATCTACCGTTTGGCAGGGGAGTGGCAGTGGGCAGAGCGGCAAGGCCTGGGGTGACAAGCACAGCTCTCTCTCAGGTCCATGCCATCCTCTGCAGGGAGGCCTTGGTGGCTGGGGATTCTAACTAGGCCAGAAAGGCAAGAGAAAGAGGGCCAGGCTCAGGGCCAGGCTTTGACCCCAGCACTGCAGAGAAGGAATAGCAAAGGCCCCTGCCTCCTTGCCCAGCATCCAAGCTTGGGGATTCCTGGGAAGACGGCTCACTGGAGGCCTGGACACACTGTCCCACTGGGTCTGCACACCTCTGGCCCCATGACAGAGAGGAAGCCCCGAGGGAGAGTGGACAGATGCAAGCAGACTTCACCTGGTGCCTAGCTCAGACAGGCCATGACTCAGTCAGCAGGAGCACCAGGGGACCCGGGGAGAGACAGGGGACAAGGTGGACACAGGGAAGGGGCAGCTATGGCTGGGCCTTGGTCCTTGACACTGGGGGCTGCCAGGCTCTGGGTTTGGGGGCTGGAAAGGGCTATCCAGCCAGCAGTTGCAGGGAGAAAGTGGCCTGGATTTGGGGCCTCACCCTCCTCATGCCCCGCCCCTGGTCCTGTCACCTCCTGGTGCCATCCCCACCCTCCCACCTGCAGCGGGTACCTTCCCTGTCGACTTGACCCCCTTCCAGACACAGAAGTAGACCAGCACCCAGCAGGCCAGCAGACACAGGGTCACCTCCCAGTTGAGGGCCCCAGGCACCTCGAGCCCAGCCGAGAGCCGCAAGACTTTGTTCCTAGGGCAGGGCAGAGGGAGGAGAGCACGTGAGGCTGGGACATGCCCCAGATGTGTGGCTTCTGTCTCTCCTGCCAACCCTGGTGGGGCCCTGCTCCCACGCCCCTGTGCATACGCAGTCCCTGGTTCTGAACAGGAGGAAGGTGACAATGCTGAGGAGTAAGGCCCACCCCAGCCCAGGGACTGGCCGTGGAGCACAGTGGCAGTCCTGTGTGCAAGTCCCCAGGACTGGGGCATGTGTGGGGTGGTGAGTGGAACGGAACGAACAGGCCGGGCTTGGGCCAGAGGCACCTGACTCACTCCCAGAACTCGATGACAGGGGACCGGCGGTCAGCGAGCTGGTCACATGTAAGGTTGGCCAGGCTGGCATTGGCACAGTCTTCATGGCGAAAGATCTCCACACAGTCGCGAGTGTTCCAGGCATGGCCACATGTGGCCCAGGGCAGAGTGGTGGTGAAGGACTTGACCAAGTAGTAGAAGCCCCAGGCCAGCACCATGATGTAGTAGGTGTTGCAGTAGAAGACGATCACCATGGAGGCGTAGCCCAGGCCTGCGGATGAGCTGGTTCTGGTCCCTGTGGCCTGCTACCCTGCCATGTCCCTTCCCAGGACCAGTAGTGGTCCCTGCTGAACTCCTAGCAGCCACACCATCCTCTCCTACCAGAGCCTTCTCAGTTGCATACCCAAGATGTCCATAACTGCCCCAAACCCCTGTGCTGGTAATGTCCTGACACCATGCCACCTCCCCGGTGTGTCCCCTGCACAGCTTCTCCATGCAGTGTTCCCATCCCCCTATGTCCACTTGCTTGTCCAGACTCACATGCTGGGCCCTCTCCTGGGTCCCACTGCCACCATAGTGTCTCCAAAGGTCAGCTGCCCGGGGTGGGAGGGGCTGTGGTACACATTGCCTGGGACAGGGGAGGGCTCCCTGAGAGGGTGGGGGCTGGCAGCTCACCTTTGAAGAGGGGGCAGATGTTCCAGACGTTGATGCTGCCAGCCTTCATGAACTGGCCCAGTGAGATCTCCAGGAAGAAGATGGGGATCCCCCCGACCAGGGCGATCAGGACGTAGGGAATAAGGAATACACCTGCGGGGAGGCAGGGGGTCCAGGGGAGACCATGTGAACCTGACCAGACCCCTCAGCCGCTTGCAGGAACCCCAGGCTCCCCATGGGGGGCACTTGGGTTGGTCCCCGGCCTGTGAGGGCAGGCTAGGGCAGGTCCCGTCCCCCGCTGCTCCTGGCTAGGGTGACCTGCTGGGCACAGAGGACACGCATGTCCATGCATGCAGCCATCGCTTGTGCTGCAGCTCCGTTTGCCAGGCAGCCCCTGGAGGAACCTGAGGGCACGCCAGGCCTGGGGAGGCCATGACACCCTGCGCTCAAGAAGGTCTGAGGGGAGTGGTAGTCCTCCCAATGCGCTGCTTCGGGCAAGGGCAGATACAGGTGGAGGAAAGAAGCTGCCCCAGGCATAGCCGCAGGCTGGAGGTAGGCAAGGACAGCCCCTGCTGCTCCACCCGCCCCCGCCCTTGCCCTGCTCAGCTCTGACCAGCCCAGTGGTTGAGCTCTCCTACCCTAGCATCCTTCCAGTGAGTGTGTGACCTTGGGCAAAGGCCTTCCCTCTGGGCCTCAATTTACCCTCAGTGCACTGTTCCTTTCCTTCCCAGCAGGCCTGCTGCTTTGCAGTCAGTCACAGGACATGTGTGCCCGCTGCCGTTGCTAAGCTGGGTCTGGGCAGACGGGCAGGGGGTGTGCATGCGGTGTCTGCTGGCGGCGCCAGGCAGGCCAGGCCGCAGGCTTCCCAAGCCTGGCTCCAGCACCCAGTGTTCCCGGCCCAGGCCAGAGGGGAGGGGGAGGGAGGGCATGGGGGTGGGACAGAGTGGCCCATTGTGTGTGTGTGTTCGTGTGTGCACACGTGGGGGGCCGCACAATGTGCCGCTTGTACGTCCAACCCACGAGGGCAGCCAGAGCACCTCACCTCTAGTTAGTCCTTCCCAGGGGGCAGGCAGGACTGCCCTTCCCACCTCGGGGCCACCGCAGGAGCCCCAGCCTGGGCTGGGAGGGGGGTCTGAGAAGCAGCCCCCCCCCAGGTCACCAGACACATGACCGCCAGAGGGTGGAGGCCCAGGCAGGTGAGCCACCGGCTCTGGGGGAGCGAGAGGTGCCCGGGCCCCCAGGAGCCCCAGGGGGCCTCCCCACCCCCTGGACTTTGCCCGGC